GCTGCTTGCCCCCTTCGGCCTGGAGCGAGCCGCGCCTGCATCCTGTACCCCCACCCCAGCTTGGCAAGCAGCAGCAGGGCAGAGCCCCCACTCCTAGCGCTGCTGTACCTACATCCTGCGCTTCCCCTCCCCCATCCCAGATGGGCAGCTTATCCCAGTTCCAGTCCCAGCCCCAATCCCTCCTTCCCCCACACCCCTTCCCTCCCCCAACAGACTTACCAGCTGGCAGCAGCTGTGTCAGCTGCCTGTTTAGTCTATGGCCAAATCTCTGAAGCAGCCAAACCAATTCAGATGCTTCGAATCAATTTGGAGCTTTTAACTGGTCTCCCGATTCAATCTGGATTCAGAGATTCGGTCCCTGAATCGGGCCAGATCTCCTCCAAATTTAATCAGCTACCGAAGCTTCACACAGCCCTTTCGCTCAGTAAAGTGAAAATAACACACTACTGAAGTCAAAGCCCCTGGCTTGCTTAAGTCCTGCAAACCATAATGGGAAAGAACTCCTTCCAATTTCAGGTACAGCAATACGTAAAACCTATATAATTCTGTTTATGCCCTCACCAAAAAAATTGTGAGTGTCCAATTGACTGTCAACGTTGGATAGTTTTCTCTTTACAAGGTTTCTACTACAGTACAAAACCATGATTTTTGCAAGAGTTCTAGAGAGACCATTACCGCTGAAGAACAGAACAAGCAGCCACTTAAGTCAGTCATATAAGCCAGTAGAAAAAAAATCATTAGGCTAAAAGGAGTTAGGGAGGGGCATTAATACAAGAACTACATTGTGGAATGCAAGGGGCTTGCGGGAATTCCAATTCACAGACATCAAGAGTGATGTATTTCCCAAAATGGCTACCCCAATTCCAATCCATTGTTCTATAAGACTACAAGCAGAGATTGCCCAAAATGTTCTGGGACCATTCACCACTTGTTGTCATGAGGGCCTCATATTTTGAATCTTCAAAAATTATCCCAATTTCAGCTAACATTCCCATTTCCCCCTTCAGGGGCCCCTTGGCTTAGAGTCCAAATTTCTTCAATCTGCTTTGCATCTCTTATTTCAGCTACCTGAATATCAACACAACATCCATTTCACTACCAAGTCCTGCAGATGATATTAAGTTATCAGAGACCTTTTACTCCTTTTCTCCCTGTGGTGTCTGGCTGTATACACCTCTGGATTCCCCACCTCCTACAAAATATCACCTTAGTTTCTTTTAGCTGCACCAATGGCCCTTGTGAGATTTAGATCATAATAAATGTTACAGCCAAACTAAGAGGTGTCTAAAGGACTGAACAGGACAGGGAGATTTATTCTTATCACTGCTAGAGGAACCCTAACACTAGAGGCACAAGGCACACTGGTGGGGAATAAATGACAAAGGAAGCTTGTACTGCAGCTGCTGCCCATACTGCATCAGCTTTGTGACTAACAAATTCAGTCTCCATTATGAAAGTGGTATTACTGCTTTTTTTAAAAAATTAAGGAGCTAGCTTAAGTCAAGGCACAGAAGAAATCTAGAACAAGCACTAAAAACTTAACGTTACAACTTTCTCGCCAGTGCTGCTAGAATGGCACTAAAGAGCTTTCTGGCTCACACAACAAGACTCAACTGACTGCACTTTGCCTGTGGCCACAGACAAGAATATGACACATGGCTCCTAGTCCCATAGGCATACTACACAACATCATTTCTCCTGGGCAGTTATATCATGACTGCCAAGCTGTAAGTTAATTTACAGCAGCAATTTTGCCCTGCAGGCAGGTCTACCACTCTCTGTATACCCAGGCAGCAAATCCACCTACCAACCAGATCTCAGTACGCGAGGCTTTACATGTGAAAGACAATTCTCTTGCTTGAAATCAGTGGCTGAAGCAATACAGAGCAACAAGGAAGCAGCATGAAGACAAAAAAACACTAATGGGGCTCTGCAGTACACTGCAAGCTGTCCCTGGCACATCTATCCCTAGATGTTTAATGCAACCATCTAAAAGTACGTCGAACCCTGGTTATGTTAAACAAGCTGCTAGCATAGATGGATCCTGCATTGTCAACTTCCGAAATTCCATCTTCAACACAATGGGGTGAAAAAAAAAAGTTACTGCTTTATGTTTAGGTTTAAGACAAAAGTAAATTTAAGGCACATAAAAGACCCAATAGGTTTCAAAATAAAGCAAAAGGTGAGAGGCTGAAAATAGGAGGGGGAAAATCTGCACCTACCTTACTCACAGCTTCCACAGACAAACCCAGTTCTGTTCCATGCCAGAAGCACTTCTGCTCACTGAAAAAGGGAAACAGAGCACAAATTCATTCTCTTTATATACCTATCACAGCCCATATTTTTCTTTATGTACTTTTGAGGCAGAGCTCCACCCACAGTGTTCTTTGTCAACACCTGTAAGTATTTCTGAATCCAGACAAGCAGGGATAGGAGTGAGACTGTATTTATTTGAATCCCAGATGAGGTTTTTCCTCCCTGCCCAAGTCAAGCAGTGAGGGAGGGGTGGGCGGGGGGGAAGTTCATCTTAGATTCAAGTACTGGCTGGGGACAGGTAGTAGCCAGGCCACAGTGGCTCATGACAAGAGAAGCGCAGGGGAGACTGCACAGACTGTCCTGCCCACCACTTAACTAAAGTCAGTCCAGGGCCAAAGCTGTAGTTCAGTATTTTTTATTATCTAGTTCTAAGGAATATGCTGTTCTGAGATCTTGGCGAACTACAATGCTCAACAAAATATCAGATTCTACCTTCTCCTCCCCACAACCTAACCACTCCCAAAACATGGAGAAAGCAAGCTGGGAGAATGTTATGACTAATTTATTACTTCATGTTACTGCATCAACACCAGGAGAGAGAACAAGGAAAGGTAAAAAATAAATTCCATGACTTTGCCATAACTTCAGCAGGAATATTTTATTTCTGTAGAATTTGTTTAAACATCACAGACATGCAAATTACATATCTGCAGTTTTGCTTTGTATGGCAGTCTAAAAATGCACGTATGTCAGAAAAAACTAAAAAGGTGGATCAAAGAACAGTGCCTATTTCAGACTCCATGACAGCTGCCATATTAACGAGAAGACATCACAGAGAAGTTGAAAACAACTGATTGGCAGCAGCTGTCTTCAGGCTTTCCCCATACACATCCAGACCTCCTCCAACACACACCCATGCATTGTATTATTACAACCGTTATGAGCAACCATACAAAGGGCTTAAACAAAAAACTCCTGTTTTTTACTACATTTCTGTTTATACACTGGGCTCTGTCAGGTACAGGGCTGCAAAAGTCACAGCACTGAAAAGAGATGGGAAAGCAACTGTGGTCAGTGACAAAACATCACAGCATTTCTAAAGGAAAAATAGCTTCCGCTTCCTATGAACAGGCACAGAACCAGCAGACCGAGGGCCCTCAGAAAGGAATAAAGCAATGCTGAAATATTTAAAGACCATGAAGTAGAAATTTACTGGGATAAAAACAAGATCAAACTGAAGAGGAACAGACCCTATGTAAATGCTTGGGAAAGACAGAACAGCCCAAACTTGCAAGAGCCCTTTCCACGCTACCAGAACTGAGAAAGAAGAGACTCAAAGGCATTTGAAAAAAAATATATAAAAACTCCACTCCCAACTGATTAACCACTGCAGAGTGTTAAACTGCCTTGAGGATCAGGTGGCTAACCTACACTGATGCAAATAATAAAAACTGAAAATCCTGTTAATATAGGACCTTTACACGGAATTTAAACTTCAACCATGCAAAGCATATTTTAAACCCTTCTCCTTTTCTTTAACCAACGTGCTAGAGCAGGGGTGCTCAACTTCAGGCTCACAAAACCATGATATCTGACTCAAGGGAATCCCCGGGGGTCAGAGAGATTGGCAGCTAGGGAACAGGGGAAGCTCTACACAGCTGGGTCCAGCCCTGCCAGGCCACTGCTTTGCAGTGGGACCAGGGCTGGGCCCACTCCCCACAAGTCCAGATCATGTGGGGATGCTGTCCCTCATTCCCACACCCACCATGTTCAGATAGGGGCTGCTCCACACTGCCTACCCCAGCAGGTATCTGGATCAGGGCTAGGCTGCTCCCCTACCCCCCAGACATCTGGATGGTGGCCAGACCTGGCACTCAGCATCTAGCCCACGGGGCAAAAAGCTTGGGCACCAATGTGCTAGAGCCTACACTGACAAGGACAAATCTCCAGTCAAAACACCAGTCAGCATGACCTTCCCTTTAAAAAGTGTTCACCCAACAATTAAGTTCCTTCCCTCCTGTATGTGGCTTCTCATCCACAACATACACCTTCCACTCTCTACAATGGGTTAGAGTCCCCAAATCAGACACCCTAAAAGAGGGATTTCTTTCTATTGCTGCACCTATCTTGGTCATAAGCAAAGATTTATTTGATAACTAAAATATTCTCCAGCAATCATCCATGCTTAAGTTGGTTTTATTATCTAGCTCTACCACTTATAATAAAAAAGTTTCCCTTTTACCTATACTGAATTACTAGAGACAAAAATTCTGTTGCCCAAGTTTTTCTGAAGAATAAACTAATGTCACCTCTAAGAAATGCAGAAGTCTCATCTTGCTGATAAACTTCTCCATCCAATGGAAATATTTACACATTACTGTTTACATGTTCAGGCCAAATTGTGGCTATTCCAATGATTGCAATGGATGATTTGACTTCACTGGTGACTTGGAGCTTTACAGTGCCTGAGCAGCATGGAAATTCACTAGCTGGCATGACACACAAGTCTCTGATCTGAATATGGAAACTGAGGCTTTGTATCCCATTTTCCAGCAGCCGAACTACCTCTCAGACGGATCTTAGATTTAGATTAAAAAGCATTTGTGTGACCCATCCTGGTGAAGAGTGTCCGATTAAAAAATCCTAGGAACAGAGAACAGATCTTCACTGCATAGTTAATCTGGGCACGAGCCTGAACCCCATACTACCCATCCAGAAAAAAAAATCCTTTGACAAGTTTGGAGCTGCTACTGGCTCAAGCTGTTTTACACAGCTGGGAAGATAGCGACAGGTTCTAACTTTGGCTGGATCCTATGCACTTTAACGTGAAGACACAGGCAAAAGAACAAAAAAACACTTGTGTATTTTTAGTGCTTCAGTGCCATTCCTATAATTCCTTCCTGAGAGGGACACATTTTCCTGTAACAGGGAACCTCAAGGCATTCAAGCTCAAGAACCACTGAATATGGGCCCAGACACACAAGCAATGCAAGTAACACTGAGAAAAGAGGAACATGGCTATGGCTTTGTTGTGTGGGCTTCCCATGCCCAAGTTGGCTAACTATGGTGAAACTCACTTGGATTGACTGTGCTCTGATGACAATTCTTTAGTTTATTAAAGCACAAAGGATAGAGGCACAGAACCCACAGCACAAGTCTTCCCTGACCCCCATCTATTTCTAGCCAACCAAGAAGGGGATAGCAATCCCAACTGGAGTATAATTAACTTGAGTTAACCTTGCAGTGAAGACATTACCATTGTACTCCTGTCAAGTTAACCTTGCTCAAGTACGAACACCCACGCCACAGAAGACCAGCTGCCACGTCCACACTAGCACCATGCTTGCTCTTACGCAGTGCTACAGTAAGTTTAAGCACCCTGTAAAGTTTGACAGTATATCTGCCCTTCTGGAGAGATGGGTATTGTGGGAAGGCACTGGAAGACTACAGGGACTCAACTGAACTAGCATGGATCCACACTGCAGAATGGTTGTATTTGCAGCTGACAAGTCATTCTTAACTCAAGCTCTAGTCTATACCTCTTTCTTGAGCCAGACAACTCAAACTAAAAAGCACCGCATTTGAACTAAGGCTTTGTGTATGGAAGGGAGTCAAGTTTGTGGTCAACCACCTCACTGTGTCAACCAGGAAAACACAACATTAGTTGAAATAACTATTTGTGATGGGGAGCTCTGTTTCCACTATGAAAGTGAACATAAAATGCATTTTACAGCAACGAGATAAAAATATATATCAGACTGGAAATCTTCCCTGGCCCCTAGACGAGGGTGCTGAAGTCAGCATGTACAATGCCTCTGCTGTACGCCAACCTTTACAGGCAACTCCCAACTACAGTGCCAAATCTACCCCTCCCAACAGCTGCTGTCCACCCTCTAACAGCCCTAGTCCTCTTGGCCAGTAGAGCCATCTCTCTTCAGCTTACCATAGCTCAATCATAAATATGATAAACTCCCAGCTACTAAGCTAGTATCATCAACAGCAGAGGGCTAACCCCCTTTAAAAGGTGACCCTTAGCATAGCTCCCTTAGATTTAAATCTGATATGCACTGAATCACTCTAAGGGAGGATTTTAAAAGCACTTTTAGTTTGCCCTCTCCTATCATATTACCCAAGATATTCACTGCTTGCATCCTCTCCCCAGTGAAGTGCCTATTGTAACCATGGAAAAGCTTAGGATCCTTAGCTTTCATAGCAAACCTATTGCTTGCTTGCCACTTAATGAGAGAATATAGGAAACTGAAGACTGCAGTTTTCAGCAGTTCTGTGGCACTGCAAACTCTCTTGTCCATGTCTGTGTAGGTATTTTAGATTTTATCCCAACTTTTCAGAAAAATACAACCATCCTATTTGGCATGTATACAAAGGAAGCTAAAAAACCATGGAGACCATCAGTTCTGAGCAAGCCAATCAACTCAAATTCTCACAAACTAACAGAATTAGTTTATTTTCCTTACATATGCGTTTCCTTTATATGGGTGCTGTTCTCAGACACACACTTACATATGGATTACTGTGGGCCAAAGCACTAGCACAGCACATAGCAAGCAGTTCACTGTCTTCACCCTCACACTGGCTAATTCTGTGGGAAACGTCTCTGCTGACAACCCTGGAATTATTAGATTGGGAACTACTGCTAACCTCTGACAAAAACTGGTTCCCCTCTGGATTGTGCATAGCAGAGGAAGAAAAAGTGGAAGAACAAGAGGCATGGCACAAAAGGAGCACTTATTTCCAATAAGACAGGATTAATTGTTTTTTCAAGCAGCTAAAAGCATACAAGGATTAAGCCTCAGTCCATAAAAATAAAATATTAATACAGTTACAGTGATTTTCATCTTTGAAGCACTTTACACGCATTAACCCTCATCACCCAGAAGGGAGTATCTATACTTCACTGATAAAGTGAAAAGTCCAAGCTAAATTATTTACCAAACACCACAGAGGAGGCAGTAACACAGCTAGAACTAGAAAATTCAAAGCACTTTTCTCTTGGTCCTGTGCTCAGA